TGATTAATCCCTCATAGTGAGGGATAAACTTATGTGGCTTGTGTGTTAGCCCCCATAGTGAGGGTTTGGATGATTGAAATTATATGTCTATGTTTTCGAGAATTAATGACTGTCCCACTTGACACCTTACGAGCATGTGTTAGTATGTATGATGAGTTAGAAAGTTGGTTACTGAGGCGTTTGTCTCACCCCGTAGTTTTTACTATCTTCAGGTGATAGTTCAGGTGATAACCCATCAGGGAGGGCTTCGGAGGCATAGTGTGCTGTTATAGCTTGTATAACCTCCCGACTTTTGTTATATGTGCTGATTTGTTATATATTGCCACATAGGGCCCACATACTCTAATGCTGTAAACTAATACTTTTAATTATTACTATCTGATATAGGAGGTCATTGGAAGGCTAGAGATATTTAAGACTTTGCGTATTACGCTCTTTTGATAGTATTAATTTTTTACTAATGGGTTCCATGACTTATATTAAAATGATTTATCAGTTCGTATGTTTGAAAGTATGAGTTTGGTTTGGGCTAACAGTTGAATGATATTTCTGGATTTTGAAAGTCCAAGACCCAAGTTAACGATCAATGTTGCTCGTAATATAAGTTTATTTCTTTTAACCATGATAGCAAATTTTAAAATTTTAAGATTTCTTCTTTTCTATCATGGTTAATCATTCAAATAAATGGTTGGATTTAATCTAAAGTGATTTTGAAAGAACGGTTGTCACACTGGGCAAAGTTATAAATAGAGGCCTCCCCCCATCAGTTTAATTCACTCTAGTAGTTGAGCCTTCCTACTATCTCTCTCTCTCTTATTCTTTCTTGGAAAGAGATGCTCTGCTGTGCACTGAAAAGCTTAAACTTCATAGTCTAGCTTATAACGTGAGCTCAGAAAAATTCAACCGACCCGAGCCGAGATCTGACCTGATATGTTTCTTGGTCCCTCATTTATTTATCTTACAAATACAATTTCAAATCAAATTCAATTATTTGTTCATTTTTTTGATACACAGACATATTCTATTTTTTCCCGAATTTTCTTTTTATGTAAAATAATCCATCTCTTCAAGTATATACCCTCATATATATTTTGTCTATTATGATCTGAAAGTGCATTAATAACATGGTAGTCGAAGAGGCTCATAACTTCCTCTTTGCTCATCATTAAAAAAAATGGTAATTATTATGAATTTCATTACCATAAAAAATATTAGATTTCACGCTATCCATGTAAACAGCAAAATGAAAGGACAATTAAGGACTCCCTTTTGGGAAGGGTTCCCCTAATTCGTTGCCGGAGAAAAAAAAGGAAGGGTGCCCCTAATTCATCATCCGCACAAAATACGTACATAATACAAAGCCTATAACAATAATCTAATTAAAATTTAAATGCTGAAGTGGAGGTTTTCTTTTTTATTTTTCTTTTTTTGTTAAAATTTTTGGTATTTGGGTGAATCCAATTCTAATGATAATGAAAAATAAAAATTTGGCTAAAGTATACATTTGATCCTTTATCTTTAAACAAAGTTTTAATTTGATCCCTTAACTTTAAAAAGTATATTTTTAGTCTTTTAACCCTAAAATCACCAGTATTGAATGATGATTTTTTATAACAATCATGATTCTCATGAAAATTAAACTTGATATGTTAGCATCTAAAAATGTTTTACCAACATTCAAGGTCTTGATATCCTTTTTTTTTTGGCAAACAGTTTTAAGGTTAAAAGAATAAAAATATCTTTTTTAAAATTAAGGAATTAAAATAAAACCTTGAATAAAGTTAAGGACTAAAAGTGCACTTTAGCCTAAAAATTTTGATGAATTTTTCTCATATACTTAAAAGCCAGTCTTAAGATATTTTGATATCATATTGAAATAAACGTTTGTTCAATTACTTCCAATTTTTCTTTAAGACAATAGGGATGGGACTAGTAAATTTTATAAATTATGACTGACGTATACCGTTATTAACTTATGATATTATAGACACAAGACTCCAAATAAAAAAACAGCTCAGTAGTAGCGTAATAAACATTCAAATCAAATTTCAAATTAACATCAATATCCTTACTACCGGTTTGGCATAAAGGAAGTAGAGAGAGAGGAGAAAAAATTTAAAAAAGTTTAATTTTAAAAGAGGAGAAAAAATTTTAAAAAGTTTAATTTTAAAAGATTAAAGAAATGTGATTATAAAATTTTTATTAAAAAAGTGTAAGATAAAAAAAAATTTTAATTAAACACTTTTAATCGTACTTCTCCGATTTATTCCAAATCAAATTCATTAAAAAAGTTTTTCTTCTCCATTTTTATCGTAACAAATAGACTTTTAGACTTTTAAGTTGTGTTTGGCTCGACGAAGGGAGAGGAAGTAGAGGGATTTTGATGAAGGAAAGAGGAGGGTAACTACAAAAGGGAGGGTATGGCAGGGAAGGGGAGAGAAGAGTTTTATGAAAGGTAGAGGAGGGGAGAAATTTTAGTGATACCTTGTTTGGTTTGAAAAGGAAGGAGAGGGGAGCTAATCAAAATTTAACTATTTTAACCTTATAAAATTAAAATAAATTTTCTCACTTTTCTATTTTGTCAAGATATAAGCTCTGTGGCTTGAGCTTGATAAACAGTCCACATTTCATTAGCTATATTTTCTCTTATAAACTCACCTTGAGTAGCATCTACACCTTCATTATTTGAAGCACAACTATCGTCATTTTCATTTAAATTTGTTATTTCCTCATCAACTTCCCTAATAAGATTTTTATCAAATTCTGTGGTCATCAAGTAATTATTAACATGCAAGTATTACTAATGTTTGAGCTTTGACCCCATAAGTAGACTCTGATGAACTAAATAAAATTTGAGATCATTTTTTCAATACTCCAAATGCTCTTTTGATTGTATTTCGTAATGATGCATGCCTCAGATTGAATAATTCCTTGTAATTTTGAGGTGGATTTCTTGAATATTCTTTTAAATAATATCAAACCCCCTTATGATGTGATAAATCCACTTGCTAACATGAAACAAACATCAATAAGGTAATATTTTTTTATAATAAATTAAAATAATTAATATGAATAAGCGATAATGACTTGATTAATTGGAATAATTATAAAAATTATTCAAGCAGTTACCTTGAGGGATTTTAAACCTATCTTCTTGAATCAATGCATTCATTAAAATTCTTGAGTCAGATGTTATACCTTCCTATCTTGGGAGCACATAAATGAACCTTAGATCAAATGAGCATGTTATTAGAACATTTTGTGTTAGGCACTCTTTCCTATCTTCTTGAGTCGATGATGATTGATAGACTCAAGTGTGTGGCAACAGTTTCATGGAGTGCGGGCATAGTAGATTAAGGCATGGAAAAATAAGAGGGTTGAAAACTCCAAAAGGCAATAGAGGAATCAAAATATTTTACTCCGGTTAATTTGAGAAAATAAAATTTTATCTCTTATCTCCTCTCCCAAAAACCCCATTTTTAGAGGAAAAGCTAAGAGGGAATAGGAGGGAAGGAGAACCCCTCCCCTCTTTAAAAAATATCTCAACCAAACGAGGCTCCCCTCTTTTTCTTAAAAAATGTATCAGCCAAATTAAAAAAGGGGAGCAACTTCCCTCCCCTCCCCTCCAAAAAACCAATACCAAACATAACGTTAAAAAAAATTTCAAATTGGGCCGCGAAACCTACAGAAGCTGTGAATGGTCTTGAGGTATAGTGGCATTGGAACCTTTTATAAGTAGGAAATCACGTTAGAGATCTATTTCTCTAGGGCAACAAAAAGTGCTGAAGCTGAGGATCACTCAAAAATGTCATGGGCTCATCTTAATGGATCAAGTGGATGTCCATATATAATCCTCCCTACTTTCTCCCCGCGAGTAGTTACAGCGATCATCTAATGATGCTTCCTCGTCCCCCAGCCAACAACAGGTTCTTTAATTTAAGCCATAATTCACCATCTTCATTCCATACACCCTCCAAGATAGCTACAAATCTCTTTAACTACAAATCTCTTTGGCTAATACAAAACATGAAGCAAAATATATCAGCAGATGCATCTGGGCTGCCTTGGTTATAAATTACAACCGAATATTTACTTAAAATTCTTACAGATTTAACAAGGATGAATGTCTGAAAATAATTGGAATAAAACTATCTCATCAAACATTCTAAGTTCAATAGCTGATACTTCAAAAGAAAATGATCAATCATATGGCTGCTCCATGAACCTTCACTCCAACTATTTTGAGCGAAATGGTATCTTCCCACAACTGTCACATACAGTCCACAAAGTGAACAGCATTAAGGGTGTGTAAGTTCTTCTCTGGATTTGTATCCCCTGAATTCATAATCTTGATACGTATCTAACCCAAAAGAATCATCTCCACGTATTTGCACCACTCTCTCTCTCTCTCTCTCTCTCTCTCTCTCTCTTAAAGTTCAGAAACGATTTGGTATCAAAGAATCCAAATTCGTTTTTCTCCACAGTAACTACTATCTTAGGAAACGAGTGTACACACACACACACACACAGAACAAGGCGTAGCAAACAGCTTGAAGCTTTGGAGTTAATTACATACATAATTGCAGCTTACAGCAAGATCAATGTTCAATTTGAAGAGCCTATATGCAATGTTTCCTATTTTTTCATGGGCATAATAATCTTTCCTAAATTAAGGTTTGTCAAGCTTTGAACTTAAAAGTTTCATTTCCTGTAATATAATTCTGACACTATAATAAGAAACAACTTGGAACAGAGAAACAGACGGGACTAAAGCTGACAATATCTCTGCATAATTTAAATGTTACAATTCTGCCAGAAACAGTAATTTTTGGGGGGAAATGTTACCAAGATGGCAAGAACAAACCAAAGGTGAGATGTAAGTAGCAACCACATAAAGTCAAATCCTCAATACAGTTGAAAAATCTACAATTATCATGCATCAAAGTTAGATACTTGTCTACACAAACTCGGAAAAAGAAAATTTTTCTATTCATCCAAAAAAAAAAACGAAAAAAAAAGTTAAGGGGAATTGATCAGCTCAATAGAGGAGTCATACTACTGTGCAGATTCTCAACGTCTTGGGCCCTTCGAAATTCTTCTTGTGCTTCTTCATCTTCATCATCCCCACACTCATACATAGATCCGACCAGACGAAGCTGATCCTCCAAGTACCTATGCAAGAGGCCCTTCTCCTCATCGCCACCGCATCCACTGCAACCTTCCTCGCATCGTCTCAGCCGATCATCGTCGCGGGAATCGCGGAAGAATTTCCGCCAGAGACAGCGGCGGAGGCAGAGATCTACGGCGCATAGGAAAGGGAAGGCGAAGAAGAGGAGGCAAAGGAGCAGAGGGGAGCAAAGCAGGATCAAGAGGTAACGAATCCGGCGATTACGAAGCCAGGAGGAGGTGGCGCCGACGGCACTCACGAGGAAGGGTGGGACGATCGAGGCGGGGGCGAGGCGGTGGGCGTCATGATTGTACGGCGGAAGGGCGGGGAAGGGGGCGGTGGGGACGACGTCGTTTTTGGGTCTGGCGTTGCCCCCGCATTGGTGGCTAGTTTTATTAAGCATGACATGAGGGAGCATGTGACATAGTTGACTGCGCTGCTGGTTTTCACCTTGAAGCCTCTTAAAATTCGGGTGAGTTCGGCGTTTTGAGAGTGTTGGGATCTAAAATGGGCTTTTGGGCCATCAAGACCTCTTACCTAAGCCCATTGAATGGCCTTTTGTTGTTGGGCCTTGAACACTCAATTTGTCTAAATGTAGTGAGCGGACATCTTTAAGATAATAAGAGGTTAGTGTCCAACAAGAACATGAAGTGGGCCAAACTTTCCAAGATCCACAGGCCTGGAACTAATATATACCCCTAGCCCTTAATGCATAACAACAACTTTACCACCAACAACCGCTATTTTTAAGATTATTTTACTTATCTGTAACCAAAAAAAATTTTTGTTACTAACAACAGGGGTTAGATTTAATGGAATAGGTTAATCTATTACAATGTCATGAAGGTCTGAATCCCTATTGAAAGAAATACCCACATTTAATGTCCGATATTACCTCAAATAGGATTATTTCCAATAGGATGATAATGCGTAACAAAACAAAAATAATTCTACTTTTTAAAAATGACTGTTTTTCCAAACAATCATGTTCAAAACAGTGTTAGATAGTAAATGTGAATACTTCTCTTGAAGAAAAAATTGAACATTGATTCACATGTTATAAAAAAACTAACCTTTTTTTTTAATTAGACTTAGCCCCATTGGTAATAAAGATGGTTTGAATTGGCCAAGATTTTCATAAGGATGAAAAGTGTCGTTTGCAACGGAAATAGACTTGGAAGGACATGGGATATAGCCCCCAGAAAAGGAGGGCTTTTCCAAATAGACGTACGTAGACACTTTGGATGAATTTAGATCCTTTGGAATGGTATTTTAATTAGTGAGAGAGAGTCATATAGAGACTTTGTATTGCGTTGAGGAATATGGAGGGAATGAACTTCCCTATCATTTTGGTCATTGAGTTTTAAAAATTGAATCTTCATCCAATCCTCAATATAAGATATAAATAAGTAAACTGCACTCTACAGAAATTTTTAAAAAATGATTAAATTAATTATTTGTTAAAATTATATTTTGGGTATGTTAAACTACCATGTTTCAATACAAATCCCTTAACGAAAATCATTTTTAACATATGTAATTAATATGAATAGTCTTGAAAAAAATTATAAATCCAGAAGATAAAATAAAGTGAATTTTATATTTAAAACTAAAATAAACAAATATTCTAAGTAGCTCTTATATTTAAAAGTGTAAGAATAATTCTTCACAAACTAAATCAGGAAGCAAGAGAGTAAAATAAAAAAAATGGAACAATGCATCACCCATTACCATTCACATGGACATAATAAATGGTCAACCTGAGACTGGACAAGAGTCTATTTGTGATCTTGGAATGCCATCAATGGTCAACCTGAAGGAGGGACTTACAATTTTTTCCCCCAAATGTGTTTTGGCAATTACAGTGACAAATTCGTGCTCATAGCTTTATATTAATTTTATAATCCTCCAACCGACATAGGTAAAGGAGTTTTTTTTTTTTGTTACCCAGAGTATCCTCCCACCCGAACGGTAAGAGACTAATCTCTCGAGGTACTATCAGACGCCGTAGCGGGGACCCCTCCCAACAGTGTTTTTTCCATACGCACCGCCTCAAAGATCGAACACAGAACATGATGTTTAAGGAGCCCAAGTCCCTTCCATTTGGACCAACACTAGTTGGTATAGGGAAAGGAGTTAATTTCTTGTAACGTGACAAAAAAATTTAAATCTTTATTAAAAGAGATATTCATATTTAGTGTCCACATTAAGCACAGCAAGAGAATACTGTTTCTAGCAAAAAATACCAACAACAAAAAATCCGATTGCCTTGGCCCTTTTGGGTTTTCATTTTTTAATTTTTGGCGATACTCTTGGGTTTTCATTTTGGTGGGGAGATCTGGTCAAAAACAAAAAATTGGTGGGGAGATCTTTTTGATTTGAGGAATGTGGAGAGAAAGCACATGCACTGCCTCGTTTCAAGAGAAAGATGCAATCCCTCGGTCCCCATCCACACCACACCAAAAAGTTTCTCATCAGTTATGATTTCTTTTTCATTTTGTTGTTACTTTTTTTATGACCCTCTGAGCCAACCAGTTTACCCAAATTAAAGAAAATTAGTGAAGTCATTAAATTTTGTTTGATAATTAAAAAAATTGGATAAAAATTTGGATAAAAAAGAGTATTGTTGTTGTGAAACCATTCGCGAAACATTCGTGGATATTCAGAAATTTTTATTAATTCGACCTTGTCTCAGAGATATTTAAAAAAAAATAGCATCGTTATAGTTTTTAAAAAAATAATTAACAGTTAATATTAATTTTTTAATACTAAATATTAGCTTTTTAACTATTAGGATTACATTACTTTTCTTTTTTAATATTTTTTGGGTGATGTTGAGAAAAAAAGGACTTTGAACTATCTATAACTCTTTTACGAATATTTTATGGATAAAAGTAATCTCTGCTCCAAAAAGATTTCCAAATTTATCATTAATTAAAATTATAAATTACATGTTAAAAAGAAAAAATGCATCAAAGTTTAAATAGGAACAATCTTAAAAAATTGTAAGTAATATCATATTTGGTGACTTATAATAAAAATTAATTAATTATTTTAAATTTATCAATAAAACTTCCCAAACAAAATTTAGGGTGTTGGGCCCCAGTTTCTGCTGAACCTGTAATAATTTCAACATTTTGAAATTAAGATCATCTTCCTCTGCATTTGATTTCCATGCCCCACGCGCACATGCACTTGTCCCCTTCTTCCATTCTTCCCCTCATTTCTATTAAATTCAAATGCTTGTTGCTGCTTATGTTTTCATCTACTTTTAGTGATAGGTAGAATCAAATAAAAATCAAAATGAATAATAATTGAATGATTAAAAAACCCTAAGACTCATTTTTTTAAAAAAATATTTAAGACTCATTTTTTTTCAAAAATATTTAAATGAATAGTAATTTCAGATATTAAATTTTTTAAAATATTGATGATAGCATAAGAATACTAATAATAATTTTAATCCTTTGAAAAATCTTCATTTTTTAATGGTTTAAAATAATTCTTATTCCATATGCAATTTTTTTAGGTTAGAATTTTTTTTATATAAAATTTCATTTCTTTTTTTTTAAATAAAAAATTGACATAGACATGAAGTGTGTATCTGATCTAATTACTGGTAAAGCGAAACTACCCATATATGCATTTTAGGTGCAGGATTTCATTGCTAGACTGGAGGCTAAATTGTCAAAAAGCTTGTTCATATTGAATTATGAGAAAGACTCAACTGCAGTTTTTAAAATGTTTATTCTAATATTCTTAAATAAATAAAAATATGATATATGTACATACTGAATTATGAGAAAGGCTCAACTACAATTTTTGTCCATATCTAGGGATTTTTCTTACCTCTTTTTGCTAGATAAAGATTTTTCCTACATCATTATATTTTTTTTTTCCCCCTGACTTACATCACTATATCACTCCCCATGTATTTACGGAGGATCCAAAATAAGTACAATTATTCAGGATACATAGACAGTATAATATATTTAATATTGAATATTGATATATTAAAATTAAAATAAATATTTTTGAAGGAGGAGACCTTCAATATAATTTAGGTGATTTTAAATATAAAACTTGATTCATTTATCATTTTTTCTCGAATCAATTTATCCAACTTATAAATTAATACTTAATCTTTTGTTACGTAATGTATTTTTTGGGAGATCATATTACTAAATTAAGGAATTTATTTAGGTCTATTTATCTATCAAATTTAGTTAAATAACTCTTATTTCAAATTAAAGATAGGAAGAGTAATATTAATTGCTAATTTACTTACTATTTTAATACTTTTCGGGTATGCAATATTTTATTACTCCCTCTTTTACTTTTTAGAAGATATAATTGTTGGGTATGACTTGCTCCTTTTTATAAGAGATATTTAGAAGTGGTCTCAAAATTTATTTGTAAACTTTCTATTTTACTCTCATTTAAATGAAGGTATTTTTTTTAAAAAAATAAAATTTATTTTTAACATATTTATTATATACCTAACTAATTTTAATTAATTTCTTAGACAATGCAATTCAGTTAATTGTATTTTATTAAAAAAAAAGGGAGGAAATATTTTAGTAGAAATAGCCCAATAGGTAATCTTATGTTTGGTCCTGGTCATTAGCCCTAAGTGGACTCAAGAAAAAACGCGGCTCTCTTGCGTAATTTGGTGGACAACATTTAACGTCCCCACCTACTCAGTAATTAGCAACACAGGATACGGATCACCTCAAGCCCGAGGGGCTTCATGGAAGCAGTCAGATTGATCCTATGGCTAGGAGAAGCACTAGTGTAAAATTAGTTACTTTTGCAGTGGGGTAATAATTCTAAACCAGTCAATCTGCCACCCATAGGATCAATCTCACGGTTGCTGTGAGGGAAATCCCAAGGCACTGCACCAAGCGAACTTGAGGCCATCTGAATGCACCGACATTAAAGTTCAAACCATCCTACCAAGAAAATATTAAAAAATTGATTCATAATAAGGGAAGATCAAAAAAGGGAAAGAACCAAAAAGTCCCATCCTTTCAAAATGTAACCTGGAAAGCACAAAAATGATTTTTCAAAGATACCATGAATTATGGAGAAAAACCCGGTTAGAAAACTGAAAGAAAGTTCTGTCCATGTGGGCTGTTTAACGTGATTGATACTAGTCTTGTTCGAAATCCCCCTTTCCTCCCCTCTATAAAACACAGTAAAGCTTCACTCTTTCCTTCTCCATCATCCAACACCAAAACCCCTTTCTTCCGTGTACCTTTTAGCCTCACATTTGAGCACTTTGGTAGTGCAAATGGGAGTCACAGCCACATTCGTGCTCTGCTTGACTTTGCTTCTTGCTGCTTCAGCTCTTGCTGCAGTTCAACCCAGAGTTGCAGAAGGTAATGTTCTGGGGAAAAAATGTGA